TTAAAAAAAAAATAAAGTACACAATGTAGTACCTAAAAAAAAAAAAATTTCATGCTTATATAACTATTAACTTTTATTGATTTTATAACATTAAAAACCAAGTGTCCCAATGCATTAACATTCAACATTTTTTATGTAAACATAGTTTTACTAATGGCATATTTTTTCAATATTACAGCACCACAGAAATCCTTGGGCCATGAGGTGAATGAGCTAACATCAAGTAAGTTATTAAAGTTAGAAATGGAAAACCAGAGTTTGACAAAAACTGTGGAAGAGCTCCGGAGTACTATGGATTCTGTAGAAGGCAACACCTCCAAAATTCTGAAAATGGAAAAAGAAAATCAAAGGTTAAGTAAAAAGGTAAATAAGTTTATTATGTTACTATAGATATTAGATATATATATAAATAAATAGTATCTTTGACACAACTTAGCACTCCTAAAAAAGCGTTCCTTGCTTTCTTCCGTGAGAAAGTCTAAGTTCATTGTAAACATTTTTGTCCTAGACATGGAAATACCTATTTCTCTAAATCTTTTTTTTTAAATGGGAAATGTTATTTAGAGCTCACAATTTATCATCTTGAAACCTGAATTTTAATTAGGCTTTAGCTGAACAGAAATATTTAATTTTGTAACATTTAAACCAAGTAATTAATTTTTGCATATATTTTTGTGCCCCCTCACATAATTTTGCATGAATAAAATCATTTCCTAAAAAGGTCCTATGTGATATTCATCATAATGTCCTAAAACCATGTTTTGAAAACCACTGCCTTAGATTATGCAAATATATTCCATGATTTTCTTGCAAAATTTTTACTGCTTTAAAATATTTTTGCATTGATTGTTACCAGTCTGTTAACCAAGTAATCTTGATGAGTATCTGGCAATTGATAGAATATTAAAGTAGAAAGGTCATTTAAAAATTGGAACATTTGTATGTTGGTTATCATTGTAATTAAACCTGTAAAGTATAGTTTCATTTTGAACTTAGTTTTGATAGCTAGTAAATTCTTAGTGATTCTAGCAAGTTTTGGTCAGTTCATTATATGAAAGAATTTTTTTGTAAATTTAATATTTTATGAATCCCATTTGTGTAAACCAGTAGGTGAGTTTTGTAAACTATTATTCATGTATTTCCATCTATATTGGGAGAACCAGATTAATTAATTAGTAATAATTATACTTCCTGAACATGCAAATTAATGTTTAATTGAATTACCCAGTAAAATATGTAACTTGAAGCTACATGTAGTGGCACATGCCTGTAATCCCAGCCACTCTGAAGGTTGAGACCAGAGGATTGTACATTGAGGCCAGCTTGGGCAACATAGCAAGACCTTTCTCAAAATTAAAAAGGAATGGAAATGTAGCTTGCTGGTAGAGTACTTGCCTAGAATGTGCAAGGGCCTGGGTTTAAGTAAAAAAAAAAAAAATTGTGATTTGATGGCTTTTGAGATACTAATTGAAAATTGTATTCTGTGTGTAGTTATATACCACTGTTGTTAAAACAGAAACATTAAACTTGTTCTAGAGTTCTAAAAAAATTTAAAAATTTTTTTTTAAACTATTTATATTTTAGTTGTAGATAGACACAATATCTTTATTTTTATGTGGTGCTGAGGATCGAACCCAGTGCCTCATACATGTTAGGCGAGTGCTCTACCGCTGAGCCACAACCCTAGCCCTAATTTTTTTTAGTTGTAGATGGGCACAATACCTTTATTTATTTATTTATTTATTTTATGTGGTGCTGAGGGTCAAACCTGGTTCTTCATGTGTGCTAGGCAAGAGCTCTACCACTGAGCCACACCCCATCCCCTAGAGTTCATTATTGAAATAAGAATTTAACATTTAAACCTAAAGTGGAATATTTCATAAAGTCTTCTATATCAGTAAGCTTTCTGTTGCTGTGACAAAATGCCTGTGGTAAACAATTTATAAGGAAGAAAAGTTTATTTGGGTTCATGGTTTTGGAGGTTTCACTTCCTGGCAGGCTGCCTCTATTGCACTTAGGTCTGTGACAAGATAGAACATCATGGTGGGGACCACATTGTGGAGTAAAGGGGCTCACCTTGTAGCAACTAGGAAGCAAAACAATAAGAAGGGACTCAGGTGCCAATTACCCTTTCAAGGGTACATCTGAAATGACCCAACTTCTTTCTGATAGGCCTACCTCCTAAAGGTTCCACCACCTTCTAGTTGCTCTACAGACTGTCAGCCAGGCTGTTAACACGTGAGACTTTGGAGAACTGTGTAGATATAGACTGCTGTGCATTTTCATTTAAAAAAAAGAAAGCTGGGTGCAGTGGCACAGGCCTGTAATCCCAGCAGGTTTGAATATGTTATATAAATAATAAGATTATCAATAGTTTGGAATATTTTAGCTTGAGATTGCTATCCCATACTTATTAACCAACAATATTATTTAATCTTTAAAATGTATCAATCGGAATAAATTTCTGTCAGCTGGGCATGGTGGCACACCTGTAATCCCAGCCATTCAGGAGGCTGAGGCAGAAGAAATTCAAAGCCAGCCTCAAAACTTAGTGAGACTTTGTCTCAAAATAAAAATATAAAAAAGGCTGGGGATGTATTCAGGGGTAGAATGGCCCTGGGTTCAATCCCAGTACCAAAAGTAAATAAATTTAAACCTAAAATAAAGGTCTTTGCTATAGTTTTGTTCAACTCTATTTCTCTTTTTTCTCTTTTTTTACTTTAAAGCAGTTCCTTCTTGCTTTATTAAAATTATACCATTTTTATCTCTTCCTTCATACTTTTTATTTTTTTTAATTTATTTTATTTTCTCAGTTCTGGAGGTTGAAGCTGGGGCACTTTACCACTCAGCTAGATTCCCCCAACCCTTTTTAGTTTTTATTTTGAGAAAGGATCTTGTTCAACTTCTGAGGCTAGTCTCAAACTTGCAGTCTGTCTGTTTCAGCCTTTTTTGGGGGGAGGTGGGGGAGTACTGGGGGAATGCCTTGCCCAATCCTCCTGTCTTAGCCTCCAGAGCTGCTGGGATTACAGGCCTGTGCCACTGCACCCAGCTCCTTTATGCTTTTTTATATTCTTCTCCTCCTTCTTTTTTTCTTTTTTTGGTGCTGAGTATTGTACCCAGGGTCTTGTGCATGCAAGGTAAGCATTCTACCAACAGAGCCATATCCCCAGCCCTCTCTTCCTCCTTGCTCACTGAAATTCCATGACTATAATTAAAATTTTATATTACTAATCAACTTAAACTAAGAGAATCTTTCAGTAAGATTTGTATAATTCTTATGTAGTTTGTCATTATCATTTATTCATTTGGATTTGTCTTTGTGTTTAGAAATAGAAATATGCCCTAAAACATGCAGAGGATAGGAAGATAATCATGTCTGCATATTTTATACATCTATTAAAATTAGTTTACTTTCTATTCTAAATTCTTAAATTTCACCCTTTAGGTATTAAAACTTTATGCTTAAATCAATCATTATATTTTGTTTTGACATGTTTCCTCTTTTGGAAAATAGTTAATGTTGTTTTTGTGATTTAATTTTCTCTAGGTTGAAATTCTTGAAAATGAGATTATTCAAGAAAAGCAGAGTCTTCAGAATTGTCAGAATTTAAGCAAGGATCTAATGAAGGAGAAAGCTCAGCTTGAAAAAACGATTGAAACACTTAGAGAAAATTCAGAGAGACAGGTTCATAAATTTCTTACTTAAGTAAACAATGTATTTTAAAATTTATTAACAAGTGGCTTTAAAGTATATGCAAACAGAATGTTTATATGTTAAAGAGAAATATTTTAGAATTTTTTTAGATTTTTCAAATTAACTGTAGTATTATCCCCTTATCCACAGTTTTATTTCAGCAGTTTTAGTTACCCATAATCTGCAACCATCCATAAATTTTAAATTGCATGCCATCCCAAGTAGCAAGATAAAACCTTATGCCATTTCCTTTGTCCATCATATTCACCCTGTGTACTACCACTTGTCTGTTCGTTATTTAGTAGTCACCTCCATTATCAGATCAACTTTCTAGTTGTAGTATCTTAGTGGTTAATAAATTCAGGTAATCCTTATTTTACTTAATAGTGATTCCAGATTGCAAGTGTTAGGTGCAGAACAGGCTGAACTATGTTATCTGCAGGGCAGGCTGAACAAATGTTAGCTGCAGGATGGCCCATGCACTCAAACCTCCTTCTGTCTGGTCCTTTATCACCTGTTTGTGTCAAAGCTAAACACTCAACCCCCCTTTGTGCCAACAAGGCAGCTTACAGACCCAGAGGCCCTGTTAGATTTGGGCTATAAAAACTCCCTCCTGCTGGGCGCCTGTCTCTCTTGCTCTCTTGTTCTCTTGCTCTGTCTCTCTCTCTTGATCTCTCTGTCTCCCTTGCTTGCTCTCCTCCCTCCCTCCCCCCCCCCTTTTCTCCTCTGTTGCACTGCTGCAAAAAGATCTCTTGGTCGCTCCAAGTGTTGTGGTCACTTTCTTTTCAGCAAGAGTAGTGATGCTACAAATTCAGATATGTCAAAGAGGTTGTTAAATGCTTCCTTTAAATGTAAAGGTGAAAGTTTTTGAATTAATAAGGAAAGAAAAAAAATACACCAAGATTGGTAAGATCTACAAGAAGTTATTGTTAATTTCTTACTATGCCTAGTTTTTAAATGAAACTTTATCATAGGTGTGTGGATATAGGGAAGATGAGTACACACAGGGTTCAGTACTGTGGGTATTGGGAGTCTTATAATGTATTCCCCATGGATAAGGAAGGACTACTGTGTAATTCTACATCATTTTCTATCCCTTGTGTTTCAGGAAAGGTGAAAAGAAAACCTAAAATTTTTTTAATTGCCTGTGTGCTTAGTAATAATCTAGCATAAAATTTTGCAGCACCTATTCCTTCAAATGTCTGGGAGTAGAACTGCAGATTTTGAAATCTGAGTGGAATTAGAGAAATGCATGTGTATTGTGACCCTATTTAAAGAGGAAGAAGGATGGTGGCAGCAAACATCTTAACTACTCTCAAATTTGCTGGTCATTCTTATTTTATATCTGAGAAAAGTGAACAGATTGTCTTGGCTTTTGAAATGTTTGTTTATTTTTTACTTGCTTTTTTTATATCATCCAGGCAGTAGTCCTAAGACCACCAGTAAAAATTCACATTTCTTTAGGGCACAGAAATTCCTGCAGGTACTTTTACAAACTTCGAAGGATTATTTAACACACGAAGTTTTGAGACCAGTTGTATTGGGGTATACTACAAATTGGATTAATTGGTTATCAAATGTACTAGGTAATTTTGTTATTAGGTGTTTCCTAACTAGAATTTTTTATTATTTTAGGAATGAACATACACATACATTTACCCATATATAAACAAATATAATGTGTACATATTTACTGAGGACTCAGTATGCATAGGCATTGCAAAAATGATTACCTGAAAATAAAACTTCCTGTCTTTAAGGAGGCATGCACACATTATTTCACCTACATTTATATCTGAATTTGAAGCATAAATAATCTCATTTCGAGTGTCTCATATTGTCTCTAAAGACATGAACTTTAATAAACCTGACAGTATATATATATATACAACAGTCTTTAGTAAATATTTGTCAGAATTTAAAATAAGACATACATACATTCTATACTCCTTTGTCTTTTCCCTGTTCATTTTTAGAAGGTAAAAATTATGTAATTCAGAATATTTGAGTTTTGCTCACTATAGTTTAAATTTTTCTTTTTCTATTTTTAAAAATTAGGTAAAAATATTGGAACAGGAAAATGAACATCTGAATCAAACAGTGTCTTCCTTAAGGCAGCGCTCTCAGATAAGTGCTGAAGCAAGGGTGAAAGACATAGAAAAAGAAAATAAGATTCTCCATGAATCTATCAAAGAAACAAGTAGCAAGCTAAGCAAGATTGAATTTGAAAAAAGGCAAATTAGAAAAGAATTGGAACATTATAAAGAAAAGGGAGAACGAGCTGAAGAACTTGAAAATGAGTTGCATCATCTTGAAAAAGAAAATGAATTGTTACAGAAAAAGATAACTAATTTAAAAATTACTTGTGAAAAAATTGAGGCCTTAGAACATGAAAATTCAGAACTAGAAAGAGAAAATAGAAAATTAAAAAAAACATTGGATAGCTTTAAAAATCTTACTTTTCAGTTAGAATCCCTAGAAAAAGAGAATTCCCAACTTGATGAGGAAAACTTAGAACTGCGAAGGAATGTAGAATCTTTGAAGTGTGCCAGCATGAAAATGGCTCAGCTACAATTAGAAAACAAAGAACTGGAAAGTGAAAAAGAGCAACTTAAGAAGAGTTTGGAGCTTATGAAAGCATCTTTCAAGAAAACAGAACGTTTGGAAGTTAGTTACCAGGGATTAGATACAGAAAATCAGCGGCTACAGAAAGCTCTAGAAAATAGCAATAAAAAAATTCAACAATTAGAAAGTGAACTACAAGACTTAGAGATGGAAAATCAAACATTGCAAAAAAACCTAGAGGAATTGAAAATATCTAGCAAAAGACTAGAACAACTGGAAAAAGAAAATAAATCATTAGAGCAAGAGACATCTCAACTGGAAAAAGATAAAAAACAATTGGAAAAGGAAAATAAGAGACTCCGACAACAAGCAGAAATAAAAGATACCACTTTAGAAGAAAACAATGTGAAGATTGGAAATTTGGAAAAAGAAAATAAAACTTTATTTAAAGAAATTGGTGTATATAAAGAATCTTGTGTTCGTCTAAAAGAATTAGAGAAAGAAAACAAAGAACTTGTGAAAAGAGCAACTATTGATATAAAAACTTTGGTTACATTACGTGAGGTAAATATACACTTACCTAAATTTTAAGCTTATATTTTTTATATTTTTAACTCAAGATTTAAATTTTATTGGATACCATCAGTAATTTGTATCATCTTTTTTATGGTTTAGTAGAATTTTGGAATTAGAACTAGAAACAACTTCCAGGTTTCCTACTTTTATTAAAAAGTACATATTAATTGTATTTTTAAAGATTTGTAGTAATTCCTAACCAAATCTCTATGCTGCTTAATATTTTAAGTCTTGAGATTTATAGTTTCTAATAAAATTTTATCAAATGGGTAGGGAAAAAATGATTTGCAGTAATAAATTTTCTTTGGGGTATCTGATTCATTATATTATATATTATAACTTTTTTAAACTAATATTAAAATATTTGATCAGGACTCTCACTAAATGCTAAGTGTAATAGAAGCATACTAGCTTCTGTTTATTGAGTACCTTGTGCCAAGTACTGACTGGCCTAATGACTTGGATTTAAGTTGTACTTAACATGTGTTTATATAGCTTTTATAACCAAACCTTGTAGGTATTATCTACACTTTCCATATTAAAAACAAGTTAAAAACCATTCAGTAACTTACTCAAGATCACACAGTTAATAAATGGCAGAGTTGAATTTCTGGATTCAAACCCAGATCTTTCAGGCTCCAAAGCCCCGTGAGCCACATGAATTTTGAAGAGCAAGAGATTACAAGGCAGATTCAAGTTAAAGGTCAGCACTAAATAACTGGTTGTTTCCTGGATCTGTGTATTAAGAATTCTAAAAATTCATAAGTATGTGGTAATGTTTCCTGTGAAACATGGTTGGTGCAAATCAGGGGATAACATGTTTGGCTCTTTTTTCTCATCCCTGTGCAATATGGTATGTTATAACCCTTTTAATGCAGTTAAAATGTCTTAGCATTCTGGCAAAAAGTCACATTGTGCTCTCACTGTTTCCCTAAAGAGACTTTGAGAAGGACCTTTACAATTTCCCCCCCCTGTTGTTCTGTAGTCTTACAGACATGAACAGCAGGTTTCTTGTGCCTGAACTTCATTACCTAGTTCTTCAGGTCAATATCCTAGGCCTCTTCTACAAAGAGAAGAGGTTTTGTGGTGGAGGAGGAATGTCATACCCAATGTATATTCATAGGAAGAAGTAGGCACTAAAGTTTTGTCATTAAAGACTAAATGGGATGTGTGATTTATTTTCCCTCATAATTTTCAGACTGAGGTGTATATTCACAAAAAAGAGTTGCTCCTTTTTAGTTTTAACATTAGGGTTTAAGAAGCATTAGCACAAGAAAAGAAGGAAAAATAGTTTCGACTGAGTTATAATTTTGCCATTTGACTTGTTTAATGATAAAAGATTTTTTTTTCTATTAGACTGGGATAAATATATTTTTAATGTGATAAAAGATTTAATGACAATATTTCTGTCTTTCCTGGTCAAATTATGTGTATTTCTGGATGATAGTAATTAGAATCTTGGCTGACTTTCTAGATATTAATGTTCTTGACACTTAAGTGAGTTGTGCATTCCTTTTGAAATAAGGATTTGGTGAGTGAAAAATTGAAGACTCAACAAATGAATAATGATCTTGAAAAATTAACTCATGAACTTGAGAAGATAGGGTTAAATAAAGAGAGACTGTTGCATGATGAACAAAGTACTGATGACAGGTGAGTGAGTACAAAGTCTATTTTGCAAAAAGTTGGAATTATTGTTATTATTTTGGCCCAACATGAATTCCTTCCTGTACTAGTTACAGAAAATATTTATGTATTTCACCATTTCTGAGCCCTTTGTTCCCTTACAAAAAGTTCTGTAAGAAAAAAACAATCAAAGACACCTAATATCAATATAAGAATAAAAGTTACAATGTTATTATGTAAATGCAATGAAAAAATAGAAAAAACGGGAGGCCACCCAGGTAGAAGATGATCAGGGGCTGTAATCACCTGTGAAGCACAACAAAACAACAGATACACAGATAAGCAAGTTATTTGTCATCTGAATCTTGTGCTTAAGTACCTCAGTTTTTTTTTTTTTAACCCCATCTTCCCTGCTTCAGTTCTTTCATTTATTTTGTTTGCCAAAATGTGGACTAAAAAGGAAATGGAGGGCTGGGGAGATAGATAGCTCAGTTGGTAGAGTGCTTGCCTTGCATGCACAAGGCTCTGGGTTCAATCCCTGGCACCACAAAAAAAAGGAAATGCAGGAAAAGTATGAAACAAAGGAAAACATACTGAGAAGTGATTAAAGTATAAAATGATATGGAAAAATGAAAGTTTTACGAACAAGATAGGAAATTACTTCATATCCCTTTAATTTTAAAAAATAATCAATATATATTTAAAGAAAATTTCTGTTTTTCCCTGGTAATTATAGTCTATCAACTAGTGTTAATTTCATTTTCAAGTAATCTAATATCCAGTATCCTGGGCTGTGTGATTCCAGGTAGGACAGAAGTTTATATTGTTAAAAATACTATTTCCCTTTTTTTTTTTTTTTCCTTTATTGAAATGCTGGGGATACAACTCGGGGCCTCAAAGGCTTGGCAAGCTATCTAACACTGAGCTACACCCACAACCCCAAGATTATTGTTTTATATGGATTAGATTTTAATTTATTGGAACTTTTATAATAATGTAATTTATATTTTTTGATCTACCTGTTATTACTGTTCAAGTATTAATATTCTGTATTAACATAAATACAATTATGAAAAAGTAATGCTTATTATATAGTATTTACTAATGTATTTTGAGAATATTTAAAAGAAAATAAGACACTTAAAAAGGTTAGCTCTAGGGGCTGGGGTTGTGGCTCAGTGGTAGAGCACTTGCCTCATACATGTGAGGCACTGGGTTTGATTCTCAGCACTGCATATAAATAAATTAGAATAAAATAAAAGTCCATCAACAACTAAAAAAATATATATTTTTAAAAAAGGTTAGCTCTATAATAAAAAAGAAATAGATTCAGATATCTATTCTGTCAGTTTAAGTCAGACAACCATATTGTATTACCATATGGCAATACTACAGAAATTTATCATGTTGAATAAATATTACAGGTATTTTATGAGGAAATGTTTTTTTTTATTTGATCAGAAAGTCATATAAATTTAGATGGATAAGAGTATATGTTGAACTAAAACTTTCAAGAAATGAGAGTGAAAGCAATTGATAGCTATGATTAGGTTAAGTAAACTGGGGAAAGAAGTATCTTAAGTCTCTAAGTTTTCTTTCTCAGTAAGTAAGCTTTTATTTCAAAAAGAAAAGAAAAGCTTATAGACATAAATTTCTTTAACCTTTCATCTCCTCCAACTTGGAATTTATATGTATCAGTCTCAGATGATATCTCTAAATTCCTTTATTACTCTAGTCTTCTTAATTAATGTTTTTTTCTTCTGACCTTCTTTGAAGATACAGGTATTATTAAAGACACTTATTTGTCCTATCAAGGAATATATAGGCTAGTTGTGAATTGAATGTATAAATAGATGAAATGTGGCAAAGTTAGAGTTGTAAACAGATGTGATTATTCTTGACTTTCTCTTTTTTTTTTTTTTAAAGAGAGAATTTTTTTAATATTTATTTTTCAGTTTTCAGTGGACCCAACATCTTTATTTTATGTGGTGCTGAGGATCAAACCCAGCGCCCCGCGCACGCCAGGCAAGCGCGATACCGCTTGAGCCACATCCCCAGCCCCTTGACTTTCTCTTTCAACAGCTCTTCATCCTGTCTTCTCTTTCAATATAGTTGTTTCTTAGAGTTATGTTTTCAGGCCTCTTACCATTCATTGTGTGTACTTACATTCCAATCCATCATCTCACTTGAGATCTTTTTCTCTACTTTCTGTACATCATTATCAAGATCACCCAGAAGCAACTCAAATATTACAAATTCAGCATATCCAAAATCAGACTCAGTAAATTTCATTAAGAATTTTTGTTGACTCAAGCCAATGCCAAAATGAATGATATTTATTCTGTATATTAAATGAACTTTAGATCTGAACAGAAACTATACACACACACACACACACACACCAATTATAGTAAAAGAATGTGATAAAATTTCATATATATTTAGCTTTTTATTTGGTTTTATCTTTGACTTCAGCATTCTTAAATAAAAGAAATACATTAATCATAATCCTTGGCTTATGATACATTCTCAAATTCTGTTCGTGTACCATCCTTTTTGTTAAAAAATTTATTTAGCCGGGCGTGGTGGCACATGCCTATAATCCCAGTGGCTCGGGAGGCTGAGACAGGAGGATCACAAGTTCAAAGCCAGCCTCAGCAAAAGCGAGGTGCTAAAGCAACTCAGTGAGACCCTGTTTCTAAATAAAGTACAAAATAGGGCTGGGGATGTGGGGCTTAGTGGTTGACTGCCCCTGAGTTCAATCCTCAATACCCAAAAAAATTATTTAATAATAATTTAATTATTGATACATCATTCAGAAAGGCAAATAGAATATTTAACAGTCACTTATATCTGCCTGTTGGCATCTTGTATCACAAGTATGTCATTACATTTTTCGAGTTTTGTCTTAATTTTTCATGAGTCCTTGTATGACTATTTTACATATTAATATCATAGGCAAATGTTTAATGATATAATGAATCCATTTACTTCCTTTCTCTATCAATTTTAGTCTTATAAAAGCAAAAGAAATATTTTGGGAACTAAGCTTTCCAGATTTCTTTTTTCAACATGAATTATTGCTTCTGACAAACCAAGTTGTAATCTGGGACAATGTTCACTCACTGATATTTGTTGGTTTATGACCAGGGAACGTTTTAAAGAGGGAGTGGGACAGGAAGATAATTGAATTTGCCTCTTAACACTGAAAGAATTTGATAAGACTCATTTATGGCAGCAATATTTATGGTCATAAGTTATCTTTAAAATAATTTTCTCCAATGATGGACCTTGTTACTTTTTTACTTGAATAGTAGGTACAAACTTTTGGAATCAAAATTAGAATCTACTCTTAAGAAGTCACTTGAAATAAAAGAAGAAAAGATTGCTGCTTTAGAAGCTCGATTAGAAGAATCCACAAATTATAATCAGCAATTGCGCCAAGAACTTAAAACAGTAAGTGATTTTCTTGGAAGGAATTTTAATTATCATTTATCTTATAAACATTTGGATGGAAAAGTATAAAATAAAAATGCAGATGTCATTTTATTAATATTTAGTCTGTTCTTCTTTCATGCTAACTTTACCAAGTAAAATTATACAATTTTAGCAGGTTTCTAGAAAAAAAGTTAACCAAATTTAAATTTCATCCAGAAAAGGAAATGGTTTTTGTTCACCATTTTCTACACCATCATGATATTTGTCACAGATTTTGCCATGGAACATGAATTGTTGGCAGAAGTTTAGCAACTTTGCTTAGTTAATGTGAATGATTATCCAAAATATAAAGTGAAATTTGGTGCCAGATTTTTTTAATCTAATTCACATCCTAAGTTTTTTTTATCCTATTAAATAGTATCAGTTCATTACGAATAAAATTTACTTTCATGAAGCTACTCAGCCTGAAAATAAGTGGCTTTGGCTATGGGTTGGTATATGTGTGTTTCAATTCTAGAAGATAGAACTTATTCTTTCATTGTCTTCCACTTTTCAGCCATTTTGACATAACTGCTATGGATTAGCTTCCTGTCACACACATCAGTTGAACTGAAAGTCTATTGTTCTAAGCTTCTAATACTAATTCTAATACTATGCATGAAAAGGCATATCACTTGAAAGCAGATTGTGAAAGCATAAGGTCTAAAATAACCACTAAAGTAATTTGGCAAAGATGTATAGCTAATATGACCCCCAAAAGATAAACTGGAAGTCAAAAATAAATAAAAAGAAACAGGACAGAGTATAAAACAAACAAAAGCAATAAAAGGATAGTTTTAAACCAGCTATATTAATAATGCACCCCAGTTTAAAAACAGTGATTATTAAGTTAGACAAAAAAAAACAAGACTCAATTATTTGCCACCTGAAGAAACTTTGGGGAAAAATGATATAGCATTCTAATACTAATGAAAGAATGTTATTATGGTTATATTAATATTAGCCTAAGTTGATTTTAGGGCAGTGAATAGTAACTGGGCTGAAGAGATTCATTTTCCAATAATAAAGGGGAAATTTTGTTCAAAGATATAATAAGATACATGTTTTCATACCTAATAAAAACTTTAAAATACATGAGACAAGTACTGATAAAACTACATAGAGAAAGACAAATCCATAATTGTCATTAGAGGACCTAATACCAATCTCAACAAGTAAAAATGACTTCATCAATCAGATAAAAGGCTTTTATGAATAACTTAACATCATCCTTAATGGTGAGAGACTAATTACTCTTCCCCTTCAATCAGAAACAAAGCAAAAATAATTGCTCTCACTGTTTCTATTAAATGTACTGTTTATCCTAATCAGTGTATAAGATAAAACAAGGCAAAAATAAACAGATTTGAAAGGAAGAAATAAAAATGTTTATTTGGGAATGGGATTGTAGCTCAGTGGTTGAGTGCTTGGCCTAGCATGTGTGAGGCACTGGGTTTGATCCTCAACATAAGGTCCATTGGCGGGGTGGAGTGGGGGCTCAGCAGTAGAGCGCTTGCCTAGCATGTGCAAGGCCCTGGGTTCGATCCTCTGCACCACAACGTAAAGATGAATGAAATGGGGGTATTGTGTCCACCTACAACTAAAAAATAAATATATTTTTTTAAAAAAAGGTTCATCAACAACTAAAATATTTTTTAGAAGTTTTTACTGGGGGGGGGCCTGGGGTTGTGGCTCAGTGGTAGAGTACTTGCCTAGTATGCACAAGGCGCTGGGTTTGATCCTCAGTACCACATCAATGTAAAAATAAAGATATTTTGTCCACCTAAAACTTAAGAATAAATATTTTTAAAAAAAGTTTTTACTCGCCTCTGACGTGGTGATTCTATTCACAGAAATCCTGAGAAATTTACAGAAAAATCTCTGTAGCTAAAGTGAACTTCTCAATGTTACCAAATAAAAGTTAATATGTAATAGTCTATTGTATTTCTATATATTAGCAATGAAAAGTTAGAAAATAAAAATTTTTTAAAACACCATTAATAACACCATAAAGCAACCCAGCTTCTTAGAGAAGACTATAAAAAATTAATGTGTAAGAAGTCCATACTATAAATTTAAATTTTAGATAATGTTAAAAGAAATTTAATAGAAGCATTCTAAAGAATATCTTAGTAAATGGAAAAGAGTACCATATTCATGAATTGGAATACTCAGTATTGTTAAAATGGCAGATCTCCCCAAATGAATCTCTTGATTCAGCATAATTCCAGTGAAAATCCAAGTAAGATTAATATATAGATTAAGAATAATCAAGGGTTGGGGTTATGGCTTAGTGGTAGAGCACTTGCCCAGCATGTGTAAGGTGCCACATAAAAATTAATATAAATAAAATTTATAAAAAGGTATTGTGTCCATCTACAACTAAAAAATATTTTAAAAAATAATCTGATTCTAAAATTTGTCTCGAAGTATTGACCACATGTTTTTTAAGCAGCTGGAACTATCACATATACTGTTGGGAATTTAAGATGGTATAACTTATTTAGAAGTTGTATAGCACTTTCTCATAAAGTCAGGCATATACTTAACCTTTGAAATGACAGTTCTACTTCTGTTTATTCAAAGAGAATAAAAACAACTGAATTTTTATAATAGTTTGATTTGTCATTTTAAAAACTGAAAATAACTCAATGACCATTAATTGGTAATTGAATCAGCAATTTTGATATATTCATATAATGTAAGACAACACAGCAGTAGAAAAGAAACTACTTATGCATTCAACACATGGAGAAAGCTTAGAAATAGCTGGGGAAAACACAAAAGATTACATAGTGTGTGATTTCATTTATATGGCTCTTTAGAATAGGCAATACTAAATTTTAGTGAAAGAAATCAAAACAGTGGTTGCTTAGTTAGCAGTGATCTTTCTAGAGTGATGGAAATGTTCTGTCATGGGTATGTGCTGTTCTCAAAAATCACCAAATTTCACTTAAAAATCTGTGTATTAGTAACTATATATAAATCATACTTTTTTCTTAAAGATTACATTATCTTTGAGAACCATTAAACTTGAATTCATAATAACCTAATTTGCAACACTGTATTTTAATTAAACTTTGATAGATGAATTTAATAAAAATTAATTTGATTTAAATTAACCATTTTTGTTACAAAGTTTATCTTGATTCAGTTTATTAATTTCTTATTTGAACATAAATTAAACATTTGCGTTTAATTGTATGTAAGATAAAAAAACATTTTTATTTTATTTTTTAAAATATTTTTTAGTTGTAGATGGACAAAATACCTGTATTTTCTTTATTTATTTACTTTATATTATTGTGGTTCCGGGAATTGAACTCAGGGGCACTCAGCCACTGAGCCACGTACCCAGCCCTTCTTTGTATTTTGTTTAGAGACAGGGTCTCACCAAGTTGCTTAGCGCCTTGCCATTGCTGAGGGTGGTTTTGAACTGTGATCCTCCTGTCTCAGCCTCCCAAGCCACTGAGATTACAGGCTTGCGCCACTGGGATTACAGGCTTGCGCCACCGTGCCAGTATTATTTATTTTTATGTAGTGCTAAGGATCAGACCCAGTGCCTCATACATGCTAGACAAATGCTTTACCACTGAGCCACAACCCTAGCCCTTTATTTTTGTACTACAGATTTTTAAACACGGGAACACTTAACTACTGAGCTACATTCTCAATCTTTTTTTTTTTTTTTTTTTTGAGACAGCATCTCACCAAGTTGCTAAGGGTCTTACTAAATTGCAAGGCTGGCCTTGAACTTGGGATCCCCCTGCCTCAGTCTCCTTAGTGTCACTGTAATTACAGGTGTGTGCCATTGTGATTGGCCTAAAGAAAACTTTTATTTTTTTTGTACTAAAGATTGAATCCAGGTGCACTTAACCATTGAGCCACATTCCTAGACCTTTTAAATTTTTTATGTTGAGACAGGGTCTTGCTGAGTTGCTTAGACCTTACTTAGTTGCTGAGACTGGCCTCAAATTTGTGATCCTCCTGCCTCAGCCTCCCAATGATTAGGATTACAGCATATGCCACCATGTCCAGTTAAAGGAGACATTTTTATTTTAACCATGGACTAAAAATGAAAAACCTTGAATTTTATTATCAGCTCTACATTATTATTAGCTCTCCTTAATAATGGTGTATATCTATAACCTTTCTAAACCTAGAAGAGTCCCTATAGGAAATTAATGTATAATAGGATGATGAAAATGTTGCCACTCATCTTTTGTTAAAAAGGTGTGAAAAGAAAAATACTTAGAAAATCAGGATACCAGAACAACTGTTAGATCATTTGCAATCTTTACATTCTCTCTTGTCATCTTTTTTCTTTCATCTGTCATTATTATTTTTAATTTATTTATTCTAATAAGTTATACATGACAGCAGAATGCTCTTTGATGCATTGTACACAAATGGAGCACAATTTTTTACTTCTCTGGTTGTACCCAAAGTAGGGTCACACCATTCATGCAGTCATGTATGTATGTAGGGTAATGATGTCCATCTCATTCCACCACTTTTTTATCTGTTATTATTTTTTAACTCACTGATAGCAATATTAATTTGTTGAGTTACAGGTTTCTTAGTTCTGCAATAAATATTGAGCTATTTTAACTATATCCTTGTCTTAGCACAAACTTTAGGATTAATTTTAAAGTTTATGATAAACATTTAAGATAAATTAATGAATCAGGATAAGTATAAAAATATCTAATATCTATATCCATTCTAGGTAATATATCTTTTTATTAAAAAACAGACATTTAATAGATACTTCCTAATCTTATTAGAAATCTTTTTAAGACTAATTATTAATGTATCAAAGTTTCATTTTTTTTCTTTACATAGGAATCTCTGTTAAATTTCTAAATTGGTTATAATAAATATCTCTACAAAGAGTTCTTAGTATTTAGCTGTATATCTGTGTCCAGTTAATCTATTCTTAAGGGCCATTTTCATCACACACTATAATCCTTGAAATTATAAAATACATTTTAGCAGCATGGTATAGAAGCAAATTTCTAATATTTCAAGGAGGAGTGATTTGCATTTTTAAAAGCACAAGTTGTGATTATGCTAATAATGAGAATTATAACTTTGATTTTTCTACCCATAAAAATAAAATTCTAGGTAAAAAAAAATTATGAAGCTCTCAAACAGAGACAAGATGAGGAAAGGATGGTGCAGAGCTCTCCTCCAACAACTGGTGAAGATAACAAATGGGAGCGAGAAAGTCAAGAAACAACCAGAGAGCTTCTAAAAGTTAAAGACAGATTAATTGAAGTAGAAAGAAATGTAAGTAATTTTAAATTTTTAAAATATGAATGAAGTATTTTAGAAATAAAGTGTAAAAACATCAAAGATAAATTAGTGAATCAGGATAAGTGTTATAGTAATATAGAGAGGTATATTAAATCTGATAATTTTGTCTATATAAGATGAACACATTGTTAATATTTTAATTAGCAAACAAAGAATATATCTTATTCAGGATTTTCTAGTGTTTTTGCAACTTACTTTAAGAAAGCCACCTCAAAAGTAACTGGGTACGTTGGCATAAACCTATAATCCCAGCAACTCAGGAAACTAAACAGGAGGATGAAGAAGGAGGATTTAAAGCCAGTCTCTGGAAATTAGCAAGGCCCTCAGCAACTTTAAATTCACAATAAAAAATAAAAAGGGCTGGGGATGTAGCTCAGTGGTAGAATGCCCCTGGGTTTAATCCCCAGTACCAAAAGAAAGAGAGGAAGCATAATTGGCTATATTTACCTTAGATAAATTAGAAATTTAGAAACTGGGGTTTTAGTTTTGTCATTTTGTACTTTTGTCATGTTGTACTTTTTTTCACTGATTTATTGTCTAATAGGCAAAAGACTGAAGATCTAATAATTTAATAATAATCATTTCATTGTTTCAACTATTAGAATATCTCTCCTTTTTTTTTTTCAATCTCCACTTCCTTGTTTTTCCCCACTCATACCCAATTCAAACTCATTCTCAGTGCAGTAGCCAAAGAGATCATTTTTTTTAAGATGACTTATTTTCTTTCTTTTTTATTTATATATGATAGCGGAATGCGTTACAATTTTTATTACACATATAGAGCACAATTTTTCATATCTCTAGTTGTATACACAGTATATTCACACCAATTTGTGTCTTCATATCTGTACTTTGCAAAATATTGATCTTCACATTCCACCATCATTAATAACCCCATGCCCCCTCCCTTCCCCTCCAACCTCTCTGCCCTATCTGGAGTTCGTCTATTCCTCCCATGTTCCCGCTCTCTATCCCACCATGAATCATCCTCCTTACATCAGAGAAAACATTTGGCATTTATTTTTTAGGGGATTGGCTAACTTCACTTAATATTATCTTTTCTAACTCCATCCATTTACTTGCAAATGCCATCATTTTATTCTCTTTTATTGCTGAGTAATATTCCAGAGTGATCTTTTTTAATATAATCCAAACCATGTCACTTCACTATTTAAAAACCTTTATGGCTTCCAGTTTCAATTAGAATCAAATTAATATTTTTTACTGTGTCTTGCCCTGCCTATACTACACTACTATTTTACCTCTTCCACCCTCTTGTACTTGGATTGAATCAGAGCTTCAATACCGCTTTACCACTGAGTTCCATATTTTTATTTTTATTTTTAGACAGGTCTCACTAAACTGATGAGTGTCTCATTAAATTCCTGAGATTTACCTTGAGCTTATCATCCTCCTGCCTGAGTCACTGGGATTAAGGGGTGCACCACTGCACCCAGCTCCCTCTTTAAAATCTGAGAATAATAGTATTAAACAATGCCTGGCATATAATAAGTATATTAATTCTAATTATATTGATCTTTTCTATTTGTGTCTACCTCGAGACCTTTCTCTTTGTTTACCTTCCCAAACACATGGCTGGCTTCCCTTAGCATTCAGATGTTATATCACATATCCTGCAAGAGGTCTTCTCTGACCCTTCTCCTAATGAAGTAGCTATCTGCAACCTAAACAATTTACTATCAAACTTCTTTGTTTCTTCATAGTACTCCTCACTAGTGAAGTTATATTTTTTATTCATTAATTTGCAGTTTGTTTATTGAAAAAAACTGCACTATAGCAGATAATTGTCTGTTTCATCAATAAATATTTTACCTTCAAAAATGACTGAGCTTAAGAAACTTAACCTGCTAGCAAGTAAAATAATTATTATTTTTAAATTTAATTTTTAAATTGTTATTCTTTTAATTTAACATAAAGTAATATACTTAATTAAAAACTTAAAGTTAAGCCAGGCACGGTGGCGCATACCTGTAGTCCCAGCAGCTCCAGAGGCTGAAGCAGGAGGATCACGAGTTCAAAGCCATCCTCAGCAAAATTGATGCTAAGCTACTCAGTGAGACCCTGTCTCTAAATAAAATACAAAACAGGGCTGGGGATATGGGGCTCAGTGGTCAAGTGTCCCTGAGTTCAATCCCCAGTAACCAAAAATCCCACCAAAACAGAACAACCAAAAAAAAAAAAAACACTCATTTTTATTTTATAGTTTTAAAATAAAAAATTAGTCCTAACACCATTGATTCCTCCTTTGTCATCCAAAAGTAATCACTGTAAATAGTTTTATCTTCCAAACTATTTGTGACTTATCTGTGTGTGGAAGTTTATTTCTTTTATAAATTTATGCCTCTAAGGTCATACTATATAAAATTCTTATTTGCATTTTTCAAATATGTTATCTTGGAGATTTCCCAATTTTAGCAAATATAATTTTATGTCATTTTGTTTAATGACTATATACATTATCCCATAGTGTGGATATTACCATAGTTTATTTAAATAAATTTTACATTTATGGACATAAATGTTATTTTTAGGTTTTGCTGCAGGGAATATCCATGTATAAATACGGGATGCTGAATTACAGTATAATTATTAAACCAGTGGTAATACGTGTGTGTGTGTGTTTTCTAATTTTTTTTTAGTTGTAGATGGGCACAATATCTTTATCTTTATCGAGCCCAGTGCCTTGCACATTCTGCGTGAGCACTCTGCCACTGAGCCACAACCCCAGCCCTGTGTGTGTGTTTTAATTGATGTTTTTTGTATTAGTCTTTAAAAATCATGCCAATTTTCATTCCCACTGATAGAGTACCTATCATTAAAGAACTTTGGGTATTACCAGCATTTTAGGTTGTATTAAAGTGATAAGAGGAAATATTTTAATTTACATGTTTTAAATTATGAATGAAGTATGCATCTTTTCATATATTTATTAGCCATTTATAAACATGTAATTATTCAGGGATATACATATACTTATACACATGTATACACATATACTTCTGTCACTTGGATTCATAACTAGATTTCAGAAAATTTGGCTCACATGTAAAGTTCTATAAGGTGATACATTTTTTTCTATTGACTTAATAAATTTTCATTAGAAAAAAATTACTTGGTTGTCTCATTTTTACCATTTGACAGTTATTGAAAAGGTTATAAAAATGGTTAGCCCTGTTATAAACTGGTAATTTTTCTGCATTTGTCAGTATTACATTGGCTAACTTTGTACTTTTTTATTCTAAATTTTTTTCATTTTCTGATATATCCTTTCTACTCTAAGCTATCTCTTCTTTTCATTATAGTCTAGAGGGATTTTTCTTATTTCTAGAGATACTCAGATAAATCATTAGAGCTTATACAATTTAGTTTCTAAAGTCTTTTTGTTCACCTTTTTGTGCCAATATAGTATGTAAATACATCAGTATTTCATATTTTTCCAATGTAAATTCATATCATCCTTTATTTGAACAAATGAACAAAAGAAGAATAGAATACAATATCAGAAAGCATCTTGAAATATTTTTCTTCCTCAGCTTTGATTTTATGATATAATATATGAATCAAATAATGATCTGCCTTTTGTGTGTGTGTGAGAGAGAGAGAGAGAGAGAGACACCAGATATTGAACCCAGGGGCATTTACCCACTGAGCAACATTCCCAGCCCTTTTTAAAATTTTATTAAAAACAGGGTCTCACTGAGTTGCTTAGTGCCTGGCTAAGTTGCTAAGGCTGGCTTTGAACTCTCAATCCTCATGCCTCAGTCTCCTGAGCTGTTGTGATTACCGGTGTGTACCACTGCACCCATCTATGATCTGCCTTTTATACGCTGACATGAAGTATATATGAGATGAAAGTAAATATTATCTTTGCTTCCTAATATATGTAAGAGTGATATGTTGTGATTTGGTTGCAACTTTATATGCATATTGTAGTGACAACAGAGCAATTATGGCCTTTTTGTATGTTAAAGTTTTATTTCTAATATCTGATGGATTCTTCATTTATGGTTTTTTAATTGTTTTGGTACCAGGGATTGAAACCAGGGGTACTTCACCACTGAGCCACATCCCTAGCCCTTTTTTATATTTTATTTTGAGACAAGGTCCTACTATGTTGCTGAGGCTAGCTTTGACCTTGCAGTCCTTCTACCTCAGCCTCCCAAGCCACTGGGATTATAGGAATGTACTACCATACCTGGCTGTTAATACTTTTTGATGGCAATTTATTTTTTATGAAATTTGTAAATAATCTTGAACATGTACTATCCATAACAATCATTTTAATGTTTGTCACATTAAATAAAATGATCTGTGATTTGTGTAATAATTAACCTGTTATAAAATTAAAATGTGGCCATTTGAAATGAATATGTTCCATAATTCTATATTGAAAAAGAGTTTTACTAAGTGTTTTATACTGTGAAAAAATAAAGAAAAGATATATATCTGTTGAGTCTGTTTTGGACTAAATTTTTTAAATAGATGAATAACATTGTTTCAGTAAACCTGCTTTCTTCCATATATTTGTACTTAAAAAATACTTAGTTTTGCTGCTATCCCCAGGACCACCACTCACCTATGTATATATTTGCTTTGAGTAAATTAGAAAAGACACACTCTCTTAGCTAGATACAGCCTTAGTACTTTTGAGCAGTATTAAAACCATTAAACTGGGCTGGGGTTGTGGCTCAGCAGTAGAGCACTTGCCTAGCATGTGTGAAGCCCTGGGTTCAATGATCAGCACCACATATAAGTAAATAAAATAAAGGTAGTATGTTCATCTACAACTAAACCCCACTAAACAGAAAATCTCTTTCTAGTTTCTTGGGTTAAATACATTTAGAATGGAGTATTTTATTTTTAGGACATTATAAAGCAAATAGGACATAGGCAAAATAGTATATTAAATTTTTACTATTATTGCCTTTTTTCTTAGATGAATGTTCATTGCATAAAATTCCAGGGTCCATTAAAGAAATACATTTGATGTTGATTTTATTTTTAATATATGTGATGGCTCTTTCTTTCTTTCTTTTTGTTTTTTGTTAAGAATGCTACACTGCAAGCAGAGAAGCAAGCGTTGAAAACTCAACTGAAGCAACTTGAAACACAGAACAATAATTTGCAGGCTCAGATTCTTGCTCTTCAGCGGCAGACGGTGTCATTACAGGAACAGAATACCACTCTTCAAACACAGAATGCCAAGCTTCAGGTTGTGATGTGATATCTTTGAAATATGCAACCAAACTCTTGAGTTATATAGTTAAAATAAGGGAAACTAGACATTGTTTCTTAGTGAGTGCAATAATTGAAGATAAAATATATTTATTTAGTTCCATGCCAAACTTTCGGAAAGCATTTTTTAAAATGGGAGAGCCTCTATGTATTTATTAATTCATTCCAAAAATTATATAAGTGGCTCTCCTTTGTTTTTTTTGTTGTTGTTGTTTATTTGTTTTGTTTTTTTGTTTGTTGGTTGTTGTTTGTTTTTCTTACGGTGCTGGAGATTGTACCCTGGGCTTTGGTTATGTCAGGCAAGCATTGTATCAATGAGCCACATCCCCAACTCACCAAAAATTAAATAAGTAAAGGTAATTTTTCTTTTATTAATTTTATTACCTTTCCATCATTTAAATAAATTGATTCTAATTAATCAGGTAAAAATCTTTGCTTTAGAGTATCCATATTTCATTTTTATTTAAAATTTTTTTAGTTGTTGATGGACCTTTATTTTATTCATTTATTTATGTACCGTGCTGACAATTGAATCCAGTGCTTCACACATGTGAAGTAAATGTTCAGCCACTGAGCCACAACCCCAGCCCATTCCATATTTCATTTTTACAACTTTCTTATCAGTAGTTTAGTTAGTTGAAAGCACACAACATTGGAATTTTGTCATCAGACTTGTCTTTAGTTGAAAGGATCCATCTTTTACTTAACATTGCCAGTGTTGTTTTTCTTTTTTTGGCTGGGGTAGGGGGCAGTACTGGAGATGGAACCCCCAGCTGGTCTACCACTGAGCTACATCCCCTGTCCTTCCTATCTATCTGTCTGTTTTTATTGACAGGGTCTTGTTAAGTTGCCCAGGCTGGCATCAAAATTGCTGTCCTCCTGTCTCATACTCAGTTGCTGAAATTACAGGCATCCAGCTATCACTGTCTTTATTTATTTATTATTATTATTAGTAGTAGTAGTAGTAGTAGTAGTTGTTGTAGATGGACAGAATGCCTTTATTTTTAGGTGGTGCTAAGTATGGAACCCAGTACCTCACACATGGCTAGGCAAGTGCTCTACCCCTGAGCTATAGCCCCAGCCTGTCACTCACTCTCTTTTCTATTAAAACGATCCATTGGGGAAAAGCGCAGTTCTTATCAAAACTTCTTAAAGAGCAAACTAGGCCTAGTGATGCACGCCTGTAATCCCAGCAACTTGGGAGGCTGAGGCAGGAGGATCACAAATTCAACTTATCTGTGTTAAAATAAAAAGGCCTGAGGATAACTATTCACTTTTTCATAAGTTCAATACAAATAGCTGGTAATCACCTTCATTTAAAACAACTTCAGAACCCTAGCACTGCAAAAAAATATAATGGGACAATTAATTATATTTCATTGTGTTGTTAATTTAAATCAAATTATCTTTGAGAAGTATAATAAATTTATGCATTAAAATTCAAATTCAACTCAAAATATACATGATACACACATGTTAATTTATACATATGTATTTTGTGTGTGTGTACATACATGTATCATGATGACTCCAAAATAAAAATTAAATGGTAGCCTTTTTTTTTGGGACGCTAAATCCAAAGTTTTCTAGTATAATATGAATATATCTGCTATGATTTAGAGCTTCCTTAAGTTAGCATTGTAATTTTTTGTTTCTAAAAAAGAAAACATTAAGGGGCTGGGGATGTGGCTCAAGCGGTAGCACGCTCACCTTGCATGCGTGCAGCCTGGGTTTGATCCTCAGCACCACATACAAACAAAGATGTTTTGTCTGCCAAAAACTAAAAAATAAATATTAAAATTATTAAAAAAAAGAAAACATTAACTAGTTTTCTTATGTCTGTTAATAATACACATTCTTACAGGTTGAAAATTCCACCCTTAATTCCCAAAGTACCTCACTTATGAACCAGAATGCACAACTCCTAATCCAGCAGTCTTCCTTAGAAAATGAAAATGAATCCTTAATCAAAGATCGAGAAGACTTGAAATCTCTCTATGATTCTTTGGTCAAAGATCATGAAAAGCTGGAACTTCTTCATGAACGGCAGGCTTCAGAGTATGAATCTCTCATCTCTAAACATGGAACTCTTAAGTCTGCCCACAAAAATCTTGAGGTGGAACATAAAGACCTTGAAGACCGGTAATTAATTATATTTCATTGTGTTGTTAATTTAAATCAAATTATCTTTGAGTAGTATAATAAACTTATGCATTAAACACATCTAAGAGGTAATTTATGAAGGAAATATATTTAAATTTACGTGTGTTTTATTGATACTTATTAACATATTCACTTTTATTTCTAAAATATTTTCTTTCTTGGAAATATTATAAACCAAATACCTAATTTTTTTCCAGTTACAATCAGTTACTAAAACAGAAAGGACAACTGGAAGATTTGGAAAAAATGCTCAAAGTAGAACAGGAAAAGATCCTGCTTGAAAACAAAAATCATGAGACAGTAGCTGCAGAATACAAGAAACTTTGTGGTGAAAATGATAGGTAAAAAATATTTATATTTACTTAACAAATTTTTAATTTATATTTATTTAACAAATTTATATTTATTTTAATTTATATTTGTTTAACAAATATTTTAATTTTGTTTTCCTCTTATCTGAAATTTATATTACCGCTCTGTGATACCAACCATAATGAGGACTTAGAATTTTAAAAAACAGACTCTTTGGTACAATTCTTTTTACAGGTTAAGAAGGAGGGAGGGTAGGAAGGAAGGAATTCTTCTTAAAAACCCCATAGCAAAATCATGCAGCTATGGAATCACTCAAAAACCTAATTTTCTTATTTTCATGTATTGGTCTCTCTTGTTTTATTCAACTAATAAGTTTTTAAGTTACATTATTTAACAAAATTTCTACATTTTTTTTGCTACAGTATAATTAAACCTGATCATTTATGTCTTTTTTTCACTATTCTAGTATCCCGATTCTTGTCTTTTGAAATTGCTATAAAGATGGGCCTAGTGGAGGCTAAAGAAGGAGCATGATAAATTTAAGGCCAGCCTCAGAAATTTAGCAAAACCCTGTCTTAAAATTGAAAAATGAAAAGGATGGTGCATATAGCTCAGTGGTTTATGCCCTCCCTCTTCAGTTTAATCCCCAGTGTGTCTCTCTCTCTCTCTCTCTCTCTCTCTCTCTCTCTCTCTCTCTCTCTCTCTCTCTC